GCTGTGGCCGCCGCTCAAGCAGCTGCCGCTGTGGTGCGGCTCACGAGCAGCGGCAGGTCTGTTGGACTGAGTTCGTCGGGAGGGTTAAAGATGGAGGTGTGGGCTGCCATCAAAATACAGGCAACGTTCCGTGGTTATTTGGTGAGTTCCAAACTTGGAAAATTATTAACTTCCTTCTTCCTCCCTCTTTTAATTTCGCTTCGGGGTAGCAATTTCAATGATTTTATCTACTGAGCTGTAGTTTTGATACCCTAAATATGGCGATTTCGGGGGACGATAAGTAGTGATATCACAATCTGCCGCTTGTGCATTCCGTCGAACATCTCTCGGTCATTTACATACGCCCTATTTTTCTCGGGAGCTGCGCTGCGTTGCGTGATTCCCTTGATTTGGTCACTCGAAAGTTTTCTTTTTGCACGTCCGCTTTACTAAGTTATTCGATTATCAGGCATCAATCCACTCTGTTTCATTCGATTTCACTAAACCATTAATCATTATTAATAAATTCCTTTTGAAGACAAATATAGCTTACCATAGGGAGCTACGGCTCCGGCTTCGTTTCCGAAATATGAGTCGCATTTAATACGGCGGTTTTGGAGTAGGTCCACAGATCCGTCTTCTTCGCTGTTGAATTTAGTAGAGGCTCTCAAGTCGTTAGTAATGGCGGGTACTGTATCTGGAACTCATTCCTCTACAGAAAGTAGTTAATTCTACTTCAGAAGTCCACCGACGGACGTCAAATTAGAGTCTTTACGGTTTCTCTCATAGCAAGCAGAGCTGTTGCGGTGTTTGGTAAAAGCTTCTTTTCTACTTCTCACTATTACCTAATCCTTTGTGTTTGACTGATGGTCATTCTCAGTCAATGCCATGGCTGCCACTAATGAAGGATTTACTTTAAAATTGTACCATCTCTCATGGCTTTCACTGATGAAAGATTTACTTTAAAATTGATGTTTTTTCTGCTTTGACTTGAAGGCGAGAAGAGCCCTGAGAGCGTTGAGAGGACTGGTAAAGCTTCAGGCTTTGGTTAGAGGAAACATTGTGAGGAAGCAGGCGGCGGAGACTCTTCGATGCATGCAAGCCCTAGTTAGGGTTCAGGCGCGTGCTCGTACCTGCCGGGCGCTTCTCTCCGAAACCAGCAGATCCAGCAAGAGCTCCCGATCTAATCCTGTAAGCAAGCCACGGCTCAGTTTTCCCCAATTTTCCTTTTTTTTATTTTTATTTTTTCACTGATCATCTTCTATTTCCTTCCAGGGTCCTCCAACTCCTGAGAAATATGAATCGACATTACGCTCAACTGCGTCGAAGACAAATCGGTCTGGTTCATTAATGGTACATGGAATCTGCTTCTTCTTCTTCTTCTTCTTCTTTTTACGAGCTGAGCCATTAGATAGTAAGAATTTCCTCTTTCTTTTTTATTCTGTAGAGAGATTCTTCGAAGAAAACAAGGATGGATTATTCTCATAAGGAACATTGGAACTGGCTTGATCAGTGGATGGAGGAGCGGTATTTGGACGGCAGAGAAGTTTCGAAGACAGTGGATGATGAGAACAGTGCAAAGATAATGGAAGTTGACACTTTTAAACCCACAAAATTCAATTCTAAACGCAAAACCAACACTTTTCCATCATCTTCATCGCCCATGAACTCAGATCAAAACTCCCATGGCTTGGCTGTTGCCCCTGATTCCCCTTCCAAAGACTCCACCACTGCTCAGCTATCCATGTCAAGCCCGCTGTCGTCGGTCGATATGCGGCAGTCTCTGAGCCCTCTCAGATTCCCAATTGTCGTTCCAGAGGATTTGGGAGCAAGCCCTCAGTTCTTCTCTGCAACTTCGCTGGCAGGGAGTTCAAGGAGGGTGGCATTGACACCGGCAAAGAGTGATTACTCCAGGAGCTTGTTCAGTGGTTACGCAGATCACCCGAATTACATGGCGAACACCGAGTCATCGCGTGCGAAAGCTCGGTCGCAGAGCGCTCCAAAGCAGAGGCCTGAGTTTGAGAAATCGAGCTCGAGCAAGAGGTTATCAGGTCAGGGTGTGGGTGGGCAGAAGTCTTCATTGCATGCCAAGTTTGTTAACAAGGCATATCCTGGATCTGGGAGGCTGGATAGTTTAGGGATGCCTATGAGGATGTGAGTTAATTGTCTAACAAGTTGCAGTTTATGATTAGAGAAATTGTGAAGTTCTTTTTGTTTACTACTTATTTCATGGCTTTTTCTAGGCTGTATTTGCTTGTTTTATTAACCTTTGTTAGAGTAGTTCCCTACCCTCTTTTATAAGCACCTCATGTAAGCATGTAACTTGTATTATTAAATTACAGTTTAGTAATGTTGTACTGAACTCTTTTATTGCTTCTTTGCTATTAGTTTTGTATATCTTAGGGGGTGTTTGGATGCAATGATCATTTTAGTTAAATAGGATTTAGTAAATGTGGTAAAATCAGATTTATTAAATACAAATATCATTAAATCCAAAATAATCTTTGGTTCGATTAAGGTTAAATTTAGTTAAATCTATTTGAGGTGTTTGATATAAATCTATTTGAAATATTAAATCAGTTAAATCCAACTAATAAGTGGATTTAGTGAATCCAAATTTAATAAACGGAACAAACAAATAAATGGATTTAAGTTATTTATAGTATTTGGTTGGATTTAAGTTAAATATAATTTAAATCCTATTTAAAGTAATGTACCAAACACCCCTTAGTGAGTAATCTTAGCTGTTGATGCTTGCTATATGATATTATTTTAGTTTTCAAAAGATAAAAACTAAAACAAAAAATATGTTTTTATTTTTTATTTTTGTGGGAAAAGTGAGGTCAGATCCATCGAGTGGGTGATCATAGTAACTCGATAAAAAGTTTATTCTCTGAAGAGAGGGTTCTTCAGAATACTTGTGGGCTATGTTATTGTTTATTCTTGACCCCTGATGTGGAACCTCAAGGGCATCCATGATACTATTGGAGATACTGAACTTTTTCCAGCGTCAAATTGCGAAGATAGGCAGTTTGATGCATTTCCTCAGCTCGATTAGTCTTGGTCCTTGGTTTGGATTGTCTACAAACTGTCGGCCTCTAGCCTCAGAGTAGGTCCTTTGGTCATTCGCCAGTGAGTCCTTGTATTTTTCTATCTCCAAGATAATTGGATCTCCTTGAGATTCATGTCGGCGCTTTCCGATGTAAAATATTATTTAGTTCTTAATGGTATTAGACCGTGTTAGATTTTCGTTAATTATGTCTTTTGAGTTGGATAAAAAATTATTCACAATAAAATCTCAAATTTCAAAATAGAAATAAAACATTTAATTCCAAAAAAATTGTTAAAAATAAAATAAATGAATGAAATAAACTATATTTATGCTAAATATGTTTTGGTTATGAGTAAAGAGTATTATTATTATTATTATTATTATTATTATTATTATTATTATTATTATTATTATTATTATTATTATTATTATTTTGTTATAAGACATGAGTAAGGAAAAAAAAATTACTCAAAAAATCCCATTTAAAATTATAATTACTTTCTTTTAATTTTTAGATTTATTTTGAGATTAATATACTATCAAATTTAATATATTTCTAACATATCATATCAACCTTAAAGTAAAATCATCCCTACAAAATTCATTGATCAAAATTTAATCATAAAATTCCAAAAAACATAATTTTCAATAAAAATCAGTTATTAAATATATATTGTTCTAAAAAAACTCAAACTCATCTAAGATTATAGCACCTTTTAAAAAAATCAAACATTCAATATAAATTTTGATTCACTTTTTTATAACTCTTAACAATTTTATAATTCATCAACATCAAAATTGGATGCTCAATTATTATTAGTATTGGACACAACTTAATGTGTGGAGAAAATATTATGTCAGTCATTCAGAGTCCAATAAAGAGGCATCACGTGTAAAGTAGTTACATCACAATATACTGTGATTGGTCCACTTTACACGTGTCGCTGACCTAATATTTCCTCTAATGTGTAAGGTCGGTTTGGACTTAAAAGAAAAAGATGTGCTTTTCTTCCTTTCTGATTTGAGAAGAAATAACATTTTTCCCTTCATGCCTTAGGATTAGCTGAAATTAGATGAGATCAGAGGTTAAAATGCTTTGCTCCATCTATCTTTTGAAGGCGACTACAGGAAAAAGGTACAGAACAACTTGCCAAGCCTGTTCATTTATTATTATTATTATTATTATTATTAATTTGGGATTTACATGCGTCGTACTTCTTATTATCAGACTGAATTCGTAGCATATTCGATTTTCTCAAAAGAGAAAGCACTGAAATGGGCGCCAACATCATTCAAACTCAACTAAACAAATTCGGGTTAGGATTGACCTAAATATTTTTCGAGCTGGTTCGGATTTGATAATTTTACACATACTAATGTCGGGTGAGTTCGGGTTGAACTAGAAAATCAAAACTTGACCCGAAAAAATATGAAAGAATTGCTTGTACTTTTAATTCTTATACCATTACTGTCATAAATAAACAGATGATTTTTTTAATTTGTCAATTGTTACTTGTTAAATATTATAAGCATATTTTTTAAAAAAAAAATTCAGTTGGCAGATTAAACGGATCGGGTTCAAGTTAATCGTGTCTGGGTCGAGTCGAGTTCCCATCGATTTTTTTTGACCTGTTTATTATTCGAGTGGGGTTTGGGTTAAACTGATTCGGGCCGTGTCATTTTTTGGTCAGACTCAAACCCTATCCGCGAACCCGAATTAACATCTCTAATACGATGCCATCATTTTTCATAACATTCGAATACCAAGACGATATATATGATTCGAATTCGCAACCTCATATTGTGCAAAATATTTCCAATTTGTGACTTCTAATTCAAATATTATAATTTTTTTTATTTTATTTTCAATGAATAAGCTGCCTTCAAACATGCCCACTCTGCTATTTAATTTTTTTCCGGATTTGTCCTCACCATTTATGACCTCTTTGAAATGACATGCTTCAACTTAGAGAAATCATGAATATTTCATCTTAAATATATGTAAATCTTAATTTTTCAGGCATGAAAGAAATGTAGACTTAAGGGTCCGTTTGGGGCAGCTTGTGCGTTTCAGGATAAGTTGCTTATCCTGAAACACGCGGCCCGCAAGCCGACCGCAGGGGTCAACCCGTGGCCTGCGTTTAGTGTAAAAACTCAAACGCAGTTTCGGATAAGTTTCGGATAAGTTGGTGAAACCACGCGAACCAAACGGTACGACAGCGTTTTGAAAATGTCGTCCGCACTTATAAGCTGCCCCAAACAGACCCTAACTTTGGTGAATTCATTATAATAAAATAAATTTGGCTCCCATTTATTTTTAATTGATAAAACTTGGAATTTATAAGTTAAGATAGATTGACCATCACTCTCAAGATAGGCTAGCGGACAAGCTGTTTGGCTGGATGGATAGGACCACAATTAGTGAGTAGGGCATCATGTCATTTAATCAATTTTAGCCTTTATGCAAATAGTGCTAAAGTTGGTGGTTGAGGGTAGCAATTCCAACATTTTCAATAAATTATCTTGTAACTTTCTTAATAAAAGAATAGACATCTATGGTTTGTAGGTAAATGCATGATATCAAGGATTTGCCTTCATCAATTTGCTTTTTTTATCATAGTTGTAAAGCTACTTATAACAACTTATAGCACATAATATTATATAAGTAATGTGGAGTTATTTCATGTCCAAGGCATACTTAAAGCTAATATATTTCCTTAGGTTATGGATTTATTTATCTACTTTTAAGGATTTAAATACTAGTCAATTCTTTATAGAGATGTGCATATATTTTACGTAAAAGTGTGAGGACTTGAATGTTTTGAGTGAAAGATGCATGTTAATAAGAAGGTTCGTCGTACAATTTCGGCGATGAAGTCGTGTCGACCTCTCCCTGTTTGTCTTTCCACTTCCGTCGTTCAGGAAAAATACTTCAATTTTTTTGAGTCCCGGCCTGGGTTTTCCCCACTAACCAATTATGTTACGACCACATAACAAACTTGGTTGACGAACATGGTTTATGCGCCACTAATGTAGCGGCTTGTCGAGCATTTGACAAACTCACACCATCCATTTCAAATGAGATTTGTCCCGTGGACACACGAGCAATCCAACCCGTAGGATTTCCTTTTCCTCTTCCCATTCTCACTTATGCAGATATTGTTAATTAATTTGTTATCATTTTATTGTTTTAGTTGGTTTCTTAATTAATTTGTAATCGTTTATTCATTGATACAAAAAAGTAAATTAATATTAAATTAAATTTTAACCATACTTTATTTACATTAAGTTATACTTTTAATTATAATTTATATCGAGTAACAAGTCAATATTAAACTTTAATCAAACATTTTAACTGCTTATTCCTAAATTTCTTTTATTAAGAGCAAACATTTCTAATATTTTAATTAAATTTTTATTCGTAGTAGCAGACATATAACAGGTTGATGAATATTAAAGCATGTATCATTATTATTATTATTATTATTATACATATATTATTGTTTTTTTAATTTCTTAATTATTATTTTTATTATATTTAAAAAAACTTACACAAAATTAATCTAATTTACTAATAATGCACAAATATAGAAGATAATTAATGTATGTTTTATAATAAAAATATCATAATACTAAAACGGTTATTATTTACATATATTCACCTTAAAAATCGCCATAAATTTTAACTCTAATCAGTCCCTGTAATTTAAACTTAGTTTTAACTTACTTTGATTAATTTTAATTTTTGCAAAATAAATTAATCAACACATAACCATCAAATATAATAATTATGGAGATTAAATCAATAAACTAAATCTATTTATCCAACTTTTCCAATTGAAGCTATTTTATCTAGCTCTCATAAAAATAAAAAATATATATATTATTTTTTTATTTATTTAATGAGATACATAATAAACAATATAAGTTATGTTGAATGTAAAAATATATTGATTAAAAAATAAAATGAATGATTTTATGATATTTGATTGCATTCCCACGTGCGAGCCAGCATTATTATAACACTAGAAGTTCGACAAGGAGGCCTACAATTCAGCTTCTAGAGAAGGCCATGCCCCCACAAAAAGCTATAAATAAGGGAGGTAGACAGTAGAGGATTAAATCGTGGTCCAAGTCAACAAATGCTGCAATTACATATATATTATAATATTCTTATCTATATCTCAGAGGCC